GAGACCAAGACCTTCACCGCCCAGGTCATCGTCCTCAACCACCCCGGCCAGATCTCCAACGGCTACGCCCCAGTCCTCGACTGCCACACTGCCCACATTGCCTGCAAGTTCCAGGACATCAAGGAGAAGTGCGACCGTCGCTCTGGCAAGAAGCTCGAAGACGCCCCCAAGTTCGTCAAGTCCGGCGATGCCGCTATTGTCGAGCTCCTCCCCACCAAGCCCATGTGCGTTGAGGCTTTCTCTGACTACCCCCCGCTCGGCCGCTTCGCCGTCCGTGACATGCGTCAGACCGTCGCCGTCGGTGTCATCAAGGCCGTCGACAAGTCCGCCAAGGATGCCAAGGCTGATGGCAAGGACAAGAAGGCTGCTGCCCCCGCCAAGGCTGCCAAGAAGTAAAAAGCCCATTGCTATGATGGCTTTTTAGTTTTTTTTTTCTGTTTCTCTTTGTTAACGGTCCTTTATTCTTCTTTGGGATGGCTTTCCCCCTTTCGTCCCTCTCCTCTTGTTTTTTTTTTCCCCCTCGCTACTTCTTGTAACACACCTGGGTGTTTGTCTTTTTTCTTGTTTCTGGCATAATCTTTCTTGTGCTGGACTTTTCGCTTTTTTGAGACTCTATTCTTTTCTGCTTTGAGGCCTGGCTCTTTCTTGCTTGTGCCGACCATTGGGCTCTTCGGCATCTCTGTATGGATGCTTGGTTCTGATGGGATGTGTTCTGCTCGTACTGACGAGAGCGCATTTGGAAACGTGTGGACCTGTTTGGCGGGACTTGTGCTGTAATGGCACTGACACTTTTTTTTCTTTCCGTTCTGCTTTTGTTTTCTTTGGGTTTTCTTTGTTCTGGCTTGTGTCTTTTGGCTCGTTCTTTGATTGGTATTTCTTTCAGTCTGCTTTCTTTGGTGCTCGGCTGGCGAGGTTTTCGGAGCGGTGCAACAGCAATGGGTTTTCTTTCTTTCGACTGAGGCTTTTTGTGGGTGCTGGTCAAAATGTGCTTTCTTTGCTTTGTCTTTTTGTGGATGCTGCGTTTTTTTTCTCTCCTTTCTGCTTGTCTCTCTCTGGTCTTTGTACATGGTTGGTGTCTTGCTCTTGTCTTTTTTGTTCTTTTCTGGTGGAGGATGGTTTTGTCTCTGTGGTTTTGTTTGGCCTATGTCTGTTTTTTGTCTTTGTTTTTGTGCGCGATGGAGTGCTGGCTCGGTTTTCGCTCTGGCTTGGCGTTTTACATGTTCCTGCGGGACTTCTGGTTGGTGCAACACCCAACGGGATTTTCTGAGGAATGCCTAGCTGAATGTGACTGTTGCTTTTGCATTCTCAACGTGATTGCGCATGGAAACAATAGGCGAAAACCAATGGATGTGGGCCGAGCTTGCTGTTTTGGCGAAATTGTCTTCGTTTCACACTGGAATTGGATGATGGAGGCTTGTGGCGATGCCAATTTCAAAGATTGGAAGGCAAAGCGTGGGGGGGGGGATTTTGCAGTGTTTGCGAAAATGACTTGGCTTGGACTGTGTGTTTTGTCTGGTGCTTTGCCTTGTGTTGAGGGAAAGGATTTCCTGTTGTCGTTCCACCCCTGCGAAGATCACGCGAGCTCTGTGCTGTGGATTGCGGGTGTTTACAAAGGATGCTGGTGTTTGAACCTGTCTTTGGATGTCGGCTGGGATGAAAATGATCTTTGGGAAATGGAGCGTGGAAATGGATGGAAGATTGTGTTTACCCCCCGGCTTTTGGGTTTGCTGTTTGTGTGCTTTTGATGGTTGTTGTCTTGGAACATGACCTGTCTGCCTTGCGTCCGTCGCGATGTTTACCTCCGATTTGACCATTTAGACTTCCTCTTATCTGAGGCCAGGTTTGTGCTCTGCAATGGGGCTGTTTGGCTTGGC